AAACGCTTATAACTTTGGGTGTGGTACACTTATTTTCACGGGAGTCATTTTTTGAGTTCCTGAATCGTTGCCGAGTCCAACGATACTAAACATGCTGGGTTTCGTGTTACGGTTGGTGTAGCGTAGCGATTTAGCGCGAAAAAAACACTTGGCGATATCTTCAAAACCGCTGTTCCGATCGAGACGAAACCACCGCCAGAAACACGGAATCATAGCTTGTTAACTATATGCAAATGCCCAAATGCGAAAATATTGATAGTAAGGGGTAGTAAAATTCAAACAAAGTCATGTGTCAGTCATTTTTTACGTGTTTTTTCATATAAATGTTTATAACTCAGAAGTGAATTGAGATATTTGCACCAAAATTGACACACATATGTATGGGGTCACTCTGAGGACACATAAAAAAAATTGTGGGACTGAGCCTCTTGGTGGCGCTATAATAGAACAAAACGTGAAATTCCCATTGACTTCAATAGAGTTTTGTGAAATAAAATGCTATACTAAACAAATGCTTTGGTCTAACATTACGAAACTCAGTGTGTGCCATAAGCAGCATGCCCTGAAGGTACTCAAAAGATTTTGAGACAGCGCCACCTGTTGGTCAAAAGTTATAATTAATTTCTGAGAACGCTAATTACTTTTGAATAAATTTGCTTATTGCAATGAAACTGATCTTAATAGATTCGTTGGGTTATGCTGAAAACATAGATATCAGGTTTTCCATAATCAGACAAACTTCCTGTTCGCCATCTTTATTTCTTTGAAAAACCTTCTTTTTCGAACTCCTCCTAGACCGTTTGTCCGATTTTCACGAAAATTGAATCGTATCATCTCCAGACCGTGCCGACTAAAAGTTATGAATTGCACGATGATAGACAAAACCGTTTTCGTATACCACAGCATCAAATTTTAGGCATGCTGCCAAAATTACTATTTAGGCTTTATCTCTGCAATGCCTTCACATTTTGACACCAAACTTTGCATGTGTCATTGTCACCTCACTCTGACCACATCACATCTATTTCGTAACTGCGCCACCTATTGTTCGAAAGTGATAACCCATTAAATCATCTTATAAGTTAATGTTTATGTGATTTTCTTAGCCATTTGCCCAAAGTTCTCTCAAAATGCCCTTAATTGCTCCTTGCTGCAGTTGGTCTGCCACTCCTTGCCATTTTGGCATATGTTGCCGCTTCTTGCGCTTGGCCCCGGTAATGGCTGCTTGCAGCTATATTTTTGCTTGTTTTTACGTGGCTTGGTTGAATTGTAATGTAGAGTATAACTTCTAGTATAACACACCGTTGCCATGGACGCAGTTCAGAGACGGAACAGACTATTTTCTTTAGCAGAAGCAATACTCGTTTTTAAATCAATAAACTCGTTTTTAAGTCAATATTTTGTGTCAAATTATTGATTTATTTATTTATTTGGTTGATTTATATGTAGGCTAATAAGCAGGATAATATATAGCAAGGCGGTTGTTATAGCGAATACAACCAACAACCGCCTCGCATACATTATCCCATTCATATGTCGCAATCAGCTGGCACATAAGCATTATTAGCCTTCAACTTGTGAAATATTGATCATTTTTTGGTAGATTTTTTTTGGTAGAGTTTGCTTGAATGTTGTTCGATTCAGTGCGAAAATAAATGGAAACACCTTAAAATGTCTCAAATCAATTCGATATACCAATTTGATCGCAAAACAGCATGTGACGTCATTACGTACAGGTTTTTATTCGCTTTAAAGCCGTTGGATGGAAACACGCTTTCACCAGCTTTATCCGCATGAGTTTTTTAACCGAATTTCAGATAATTCGATTGACAAGTAGATGGAAACATGGCTTTTGTTTCAGTAGATCTTATTTTGCAGTCTAAGTATATGACCTTTATAAATTCACCACAAACATCTTTCAAGTCTTATTGTGCTAATACTGTCAAATACACACAAGGTCTACATAAAAATAGTTGGTTATGTCTGAAGTGAACGCAAACAGAGAAAATCTGCTTGTTGTATTAGACGTGTCGTGTGCAGCTCTTAAAGAGACAGTATCTATAATATGCAGCCGCTTGTCCTTAAAGGTGGAATACCTAAGATTTTTGCATTAAAATATCCCAAAATCACAAGGCCAGTGTTATATATTTAGTTATGATGATAACTCGCAATATTCCAAATGTTTCAAACAATGTTTAAATCGCGAGAAAATTGAGATTTTAACCAAGGAAACGGGGCGTATGAGCAGGGGTGAGCTGGGAGTCGCCAGTCAATCGCGTCATATCCGCTTACCTCGGTTTCCGCTCGTACTACGTGTAGTCCTGGACAAATGCGGTAGTTGTAGTTGTGCGTTAGCGTCTATCAAGCAACAAACGTAAGCTTGTTTCGCGCATTTGTTATGGAATGGAGCACAATTATTCTTTTCATTTATTCTCGGAATGTGAACTGTTGGCTGTAAAGGGGGTCGCACACCGGACGAGAAGCGCCGCACCACGTTTAGGACAACTCCACAGTATCGAACACCGGACGCGCACTTTCTCATCAGTGTATGGCCAGCAATATTGTTATGTTTAATGACAGGAAATGAAGATAATGTCTGTTCTATGTTATGATTGTACTGTACAATTAAATACAATCGTTGCTGAGTCTGCATTCTGAAAACTTTACCTCAGATCATCTGTTAACTGAATGAATTGAGAATCTCACCTGAAAATTCTAATAATAACATCAGCAATTGTCATTCAAGCAGCTGATTTCTGTAAATGAATGCAAAACTAAATGCATATTGAAGCATAGGGCGAAGTCAGGATCCATTAGCAACGATTTGAGACAAAACTAATTAAAATTTTATATAAAACTATGTAAATGGCGCTCTGTGGCGCAGCAGGATTTTGAACACGGTCCTGAGACGTTGCTGGGCGCCGCGGACAGACGCCGAATGGCGCCGCCGGTATGTGTACACTTATAGATAATAATGTGTTCGAATTTTAAAGATGTGGCGCGACGCGGCGCTGCAGCTTCTCGTCCGGTGTGCGACCCCCTTAACGTTAATTTTGTGAAACTGTAGCTGTGGTTGAATACTTACACAACATGAAAAGATGTGTCAAATGTACATTAAATTGATTTTTTTTTTATAAAGTTACCAAGGAGGACCAGCCACGTCAACTCCTTGCAAGAGACCTGCCCCTTCAAACCCTCTCCACCATAGCTTCGTCTAGTGACTCGTACAGTAGCTAATTTACTTTTAAACCTGACATTTCTTGCGGCTATTTCAGTTAAATGAAAAACAAACATGTCATTAAACGCAGCGTTTATAGAAATCGAACTTTACCTCATCCATGACAACTAATTTTCGATTCCCGTCTGACTGATTTATCCACGGTGGAGTTGAAAACAACAGTTCCAATCATTCCGCGTTCCTCCACGTCGTCATCAAGCAAAGCCATTGTTGTTGTTTTGAATGTAGCGCCCTCTAGCGGCATCTAAATCTTAGGTATTGCAGCTTTAAAGGAACACTCCGACTTTTTGGGGCTTATTCACCGTGTGCCCCAGAGTTAGATAAGTCCATACATAGCTTTTTCATCTCCGTATGTGCTGTAACTTTTTCTGACGCACCCACTGCTAGCCTAGCTTAGCACAAAGACTGGATGTAAATGGATACAGCTAGCAGACTAATCCCAATAAGTGACAAAATAATGCAAACATTTTCCTATTTACATGTTGTGATTTGTATAGTCACAGAGTGTACAAATAACAAGGTCATATGCGACAGCCATCTTTTTAGAGTGTTCGTTCAGAGTTGGAGTAATAGAGGCAGAGTCAGCAATTAGTAATAAAATAAATTAGTAGATAGTAAAAACATTGTTTACAATCATGGCTGTTTGTTTTTTTGTAAAGAGCTGTGACAATAAACAGGGGAGACCAGGTAATACCATGATGAATCATTGGCTAAGTTACTTGCACTGGATGTAACGTTAGATCCAAACTCACCTGAAGAGATCATCAAGGACCATCGTGTTTGCTCAGTACATTTCACTGTGCATTCACTGAAAAAATGGAGTTTGCCACACGGAAACCAAGTCTTGGAAACGCTATCATGGATTTTGTTCTTTTGCTATTGGACCAAATGGGAATTTCTTTTTTTTTTTTTTTTTTTTTTTTTTACAAAAAAAATATTCACTGTTATTGAAGTTTACACAACTATGAGAACTTCAGAGGACCCTGGAAATGTGAAAAGGATCCAATATTGATTATTATGCTTATTATTACTTTGGTCATTTATGTACTTTTGTCATCTCTAATGCTAAAAAAAAAACCGTAGTATTTTAAAATATTATTACAATTTAACATATTAATTATAACTTTGTCATTAATTGTTAAACATATATTAACTATTTTTATAACCTGTGATTCTTTTTTCCAGGATTCTTTGATGAATAAAAAAGAACAGCAATATCCAATATACACTACCGTTTTTCAAAGAAACTGATACTTTTAGTCAGTGTTAAATTGATTAAAAGTGATGATAAAGATTTATATTGTAAGAGAATATTTCTATTTTGAATAAATGCTGTTCTTTTTAACTTTTTATCCTGATGGAAAAAAAAAAACATAGGTTGTTGCTGTTTTTGCATTGATAATACTTGAGTATTAAATCGGCATATTAGAATGATTTCTGTAGGATCATATGACTCCTACGACTCGGGTTATGGCTGATAATAATTCAGTTTTGATTCTCAAAAATAAATAATTTTTTAAAGTATATTAAAATAGAAAACCATTATTTCATTATTATGTACTTCAAAAATACAGAAAAAAACTGTCATATTGTGTTTTATCAAATAAATGCAGCAGAGACTACTTTATTGTTTATTAATAATTATTAATTGTATTTACATTATTTTTAGTGTCTATTCGTTAATATTGATATCTTGAACGCAAAGGAAACTACAATGGATGTCCTGATTGAGATGTGTAATGTGGTCTTTCCTGTTTTACAGACAAAACTTCAATAACCAGCATAAACCCATCTTCCCGAAAAAGATTTATTACGTCAACACCAAACTGGAGGTCCGCAAAATCCCCCGGGACCTCAACAACATCACCAAACTCAATGAGCACTTCAGCAAATTTGGAACCATAGTCAACATTCAGGTAAACTTCAGTGTAGAGTAGATTATCAACTACATATTTGCTATTGTTCTGTAACACTTTTGTTATACAGGTCAACGAATGCAGTTGTAGTGAATGTGATGTAAAGCTGTTGTCGTTTCCACAGGTGGTGTTCGGGGGCGACCCAGAGGCAGCACTGATCCAGTACACAGCCAATGAGGAGGCTCGGAGGGCCATCTCCAGCACTGAGGCCGTTCTCAATAACCGCTTCATCAGAGTCTACTGGCATAGAGAGCCCACATCCAGCACACAGGAGCAGGGACCCGGTCAGAACACAAACCCTGGCCAGCAGCAGCCCACGGCACACAAGGTCCGACACCCACTGATAAAATTAAAACTGGAATGCACAATATTATATTTCATTGTGTTGCTCTTCTAACATTTGGAGAATGAGCTCTTGCTGCCCAGCCCTACTATTGATAGTTTTCGTTTTCCCAATAGAGAAGTTTGTATCCGTTTTAATTGATTATTAAAGGAGTAGTTCACTTTTTTTTTTAAAAAACTTTTGCTGATAATTTACTCACCCCCATGTCATCCAAGATGTCCACGTCTTTTTTTCTTCAGTCGAAAAGAAATTAAGGTTTTTGATGAAAACATTCCAGGATTTTCTCCATATAATGGACTGCAGTGGTAACCAAACGGTTCAAGGTCCAAAAGACAGTTTCAGTGCAGCTTTAAACGATTCCAAACGATGAATCAAAATGAACAAATCTTTTTCTGAGTCATTTGGTTCATTCAACGAACGAAACGAACCAATTGACTCAGGAAAAGATTCATTCATTTTGATGAACGAGTTTGAACAGGAGAGCCACGAACGTGCATCACAGAACAGAGCAAGGCGAGCATTTGAGCTTATAAACCTTAAACTTTGTTATTTATTTATTAAATGAGCGATCGTTTCGCTTGATAAGACCCTTATTCATCGTCTGGAATCGTTTAAAGCCCTTTGAACAGTTTGGAATTTGTACTGAAACTCTCATTTGGACCTTGAACCGTTTGGTTCCCATTGAAATGCATTATATGGAGAAAAATCCTGGAATATTTTCATCAAAAACCTTAATTTCTTTTTGACTGAAGAAAGAATGACATGGACATCTTGGATGACATGGGGGTGAGTAAACTACTCCTTTAACTCAAAAATGATTGAAATCCTTACCGTGACTGTTCATTCATGGTTTCAAACTTTGTCATTCGTTTACATACTTTGACTGAATTTAGTTGTGTGTGCAGGTCATTAAGCAGCACCCTGCAGGAGCTTACGCGCTGAATAATACCTTCCCCAAACACCAGACTGCCACGGGAATCATGGGCGGCACGGAACCCACCAGCCCGAACCAAGAGCCATCAGTGGTAAAGAAAACACTTGAATGTTTGCACACACATCTGTTCAGAGAGAATAGAAATGAGCAATTTTACACGAGTAGGAGTGTGATATGGCTCTTTATCAGAAGGGCTGTGATTCGGCCATGGGACGAAAGAGCCACATTGCACGGATACGTGTGTGATACTGCCTTTATACAAAAGTTTGTCGGCACGAGTGTGTAAATAAATCAGAAACGGTAGTGCCTTCAAAAACTCTATTTTGTGCAGAACTACTTTCTTCCGCCACAGATTCAAATCTCGAATTGAGCCTCAATAGTTGAGCCTGAGCTTCCGTTACTAACCGTCACTTTAGAACTAGTAATGAAGGAACGTTAAGTCGCTTCACTGGAGGGTATAATGAGAGAGAGAGTAAACGAGTTCATTCTTATATTCATAATAAAAAAACATCCGCTGAGGAAAGCGATATCTTAGTATGTTTTTAACAGATAAGGGGATTTCCCATGATTGCGCTAGTCAATGCATTTGCCGGTTGCTTCATGTAAACCCTAGTTCACACTACACGATTTTAAAACGTCAGGCTGAACTGTGCGGTTCACACTACACGACTTGCTCTCTGTGAAATCAGGAGTGTTCAAGTTGTTGAGCTGTTCACACCACACGACACAACGTGATTGATCACAACCGCGACAGGAGGTAACGCACTACACAAGTTGAGTTGTCTGTCACCGAACGATTCTCTTGTCTACAAACCACGTTTTGTCACAAACAATCGCGATAAAACGAACCAGAAATGACGCGAAACAGCACGCGCGCCAATACCCAGCGAAAAAGACGAAGAACACAACACGCCAATATGGACGTCAGACAGAAACTAGTGCTGCAAACTGAGAAAAAACGCAAAAAAAATCAGATTTACCCGGTGACTTGCTCTGATTGGCTGTAGCTCATGACATCACTGAGGTTTAGTCTTGCGACAGCAAGAGGATATCTAGTATGCTAGATATTTTTCTGGACTCGACGACATGTCTGCAAGCTTCTTTGATGCGCTGTTGACAGATTGTCGAGCATTCATCGCCCGCTAATCCCCTGCAATTTGGACGCGATAACACCCTGACCTGTCGGCGAGCTCAACGATTTGTAAATCGGGCTTAAAATCATGTAGTGTGAACTTGGCTTAAGGCGTTCTTTAGAAATAACCTTGTTTCCAACCCTGTTTGGGCTGATTTCAAAATAAAAGTCTCGCTCATAAAGACTCGTCGCCATCTACTGACGTAATAATGTAACGTTCACTGAAACACAACTAAATCTTTGCAGTTTCCCTATTAGCATTGGGTTTATATCCAAAATATTGCCAAATAGGTGCTTTTACATTTCGCTTTGAGACCAAATCTTGTGCCATCGTCTTGTCAGTCAGCTCGCCTCACTCTCGTGATAAATGAAATCTGACTCCTGCTGCTGATCTGTGCTGCATTAAACAGACACTACAGTGAACACGTCTGTTCTCGGACTGAACTAAAGGATTTTTGTTATTATTATCACCTCTGTGCGACTTAACATCGAAAACACAGACTAACTAAAAAAATATTTAGCATTTAGTTTTCAACATTGATGGTAAAATAAATGTCATCATATTAGAATGATTTCTTAAGGATCATGTGACACTGAAGAATAATGATGCTGAAAATTCAGCTTTGATCACAGGAATAAAATAGATTTTAAAATAAAACCGAAAACTAATAGACTGCTTTCAAAAATCTTCCAAACTTTCAACCGATTGTGTGTGTCTAAACTATAAAACACATAAACATGTAGGTAATAAACTTTAAAAATCAACAATTGTATGATTTTCTCTGTTAAACTAGGGTTTGACGCCATCTTCGAGTTTACCGAAGGGTCCGTTCTCACGCACGGTGTTGAAAACCGCATCAAAGTCATTGGGAAAAACGGGCAAAGCGCTGGAAGCTCAGGAGGTCCTGAAGAAGAAGCATGTGAGTATTTCCTTTCTCCTCCTCACCTCTGTAAGCCGAAACAGGCAGATCCACCGACTAGGATTGCACAGTCTGTAATGTACTTATGAGTCCGCTAACATGACCTCTGACCTTCAGGAGGCGTTGAAACTGCAGCAAGACATGAGGAAGAAGAAACAAGAAATGGTTGAAAAACAGATCGAATGTCAGAAGGTATGAAAGATTCCTGAAGTGAAACACAGCTAGATAAATGTTTTTTATTATATTTCGATATTACTGTAATTACTGCATTTTAGAGTATTTGTGTTTGGCTATTTTTTAGGGCTGTGCAAAAATTAATTGCGATTATTCGCATCCAAAATAAAAGTCTCTGTTTACAAAATATATTTGTGTGTGCTGTATATAATTATTTTGTATAAATAAATACCTATGCATGCATGTATATATTTAAGAATTATTTGCGCTTAAATAATGTATATATATACATATAAAAATACATAATCTATATTATATAAATATAAATATTTTATATATGAATAACACATTTTTTTAAATATATACATGCATGTGTGTGTATTTATTTATACAAAATTATATACAGCAGACACAAATATGTTATGTAAACACAGACTTTTATTTTGGATGCGATTAATCGCAATTAATTTTTGCACAGCCCTACTATTTTTATGTTCACACCCATGTCATACGTCACATTTATCTCATATTTGCTGTGTACAATTAGCATTACCTTCTCTTTATTTGAAAAACATATGATTCCCAACTACACTATTGGTTACGATGTTTAGTTCCTGTTTCAAACTATTTGTGAAAAATACTTTAATAGGATTAAATACAAAATCAGGATGTATCTATGTAGAGTATAAAGATATTTTATGGCTTAATTTTTATCATGCTCAAATTGTTTCCTTTTCAAATAATTTATTCCTAATAATTGTAGTAAATATTATATGAATCTAAGGTGGTCACTAATGTTTTTTTTTTTGTTTTTTTTTGATAATAGGTAGATTATTTTGAGGATTAATCGAGTAATTGGATTTTTTTGTGTGTGTAATAAAAATAGACTTAAGTGAACAATAGCCTTTCAAATAACTTAAAATGTAACTTTTTTATAAGGCCCCATGTGTAAATTTTTGCTAATGATGATGGATATTAGGAAAACTGGCTTTCAGATATTCCAAGAGATGACAGCAAATTAACACAATTAATAAGTAAAGTTAGTTTGACTTCCCATAGCACTTTGTTAAACAAGTCAACTATAAGTTGTGTTAACTGTTAACTATTAGCTACTTTATTTACAGTTATGTTATCAACCAACTTTGCAAAAATAATAAATAAATTATATATATATATATATATATATATATATATATATATATATATATATATTAATTGCATCGCAGCCTGGGATGTTTCACAATAGCACTATCCCATATATGATTTTTAAATGGTATTAATATTGTGCAGCCTTAGAAAAGGATTAATAATACAGGTCGAGGATTCTCATCCGTGGAGTTCACCACTTCCGGTATTTTGCCGGTTAATACACACGAGTAAATTGCTAAAAAGGATTTTTTTTTTAAACCGAGCACTTGAATTTATGTGAGGTATTGTGACTAGGGATGAGTATCGTTAAGGTTTTATCGGTATTACTACTCTTACCGATACCGCTTATCGATCCGGTACATTAACGGTATTCTTATCGGTTCTTTTTGGTGTTTTTTTTTTTTTTTGTTAAGAATTAAGAACATAATTAAACTCTATATTTTGAAATGTAAAATAGAAAAAGCACAACGAAGAAAAATATATTTATGTTATGCAGCAATGTGCAGGCTTTTTTTGTTTTATATACAAAAAGGACACATAAGAAAAAAAACATGTACAAACACAAGAATACAATTAATCAAAGATACAAATTATATACAAAGTGTATTAATTTCAGGAAGGTGTACTAACATATCTTTTCAGGTAATTGTTTCTGTCTGAAAAGAAACCTAATTTAGTAATCAAATATAAAATAGCACTAGTTTATCATAGATGGATTAATGCTTATTAAATCTAAAGTTACTCATTCAAAAGCTGTGAGTGATTTTCTCTGCCTTTAGTTGTTTGATTTGCATTAATGGCTGAATCGTCAGCAGGTTTAGACTATTCTGTCCCTTTAAGACCGAGAGCAAATCTAATAGGTGCACCATCAACTGAAGCGCCATCATTTTCTCCCTATTATTTACGTCCATTTAAGACATAATTGTGTTTAAGTGAATCTCAGAGCTGGTCATTTTGACATTTTTATGTATATTTGATAGTTAAGGACACACAAAGCCCAAAGTATAGGCTACTTTTCTTGTCTCGTTGCAGTCCGTTTCGGAGCGCGCACCGCCTTGTGAACAGGCTCTTGCGCAGGCTTTTGTGTTTTTAATAGCCATTTTTTGATCTTGCAACAGTAGAAGACAGCATTTTGCAACAAGCGCCGATCGTGCTGATTCTGACGGCACGTTTGGGTTTTAGGAAGAACTGACAGCGCTCCGCAGTGCTGTGAAGTAGGCTAAAGGAGGTTAAGCTGGACAGATCATGTGTCTTGATTTTTAACGGTTTAATCTCAAATATCTTCTTTTTATAATCTTTGGAAGCCGAAATACAAAATATATTAGAATAATATCCCACATCTAAAGTGTAACCACGTTGAATGTTTAGTTCTGTCCTCATTGTCACTCATTAGGCAAAGGCTGTCGTGTTGCGCGTGCTGTGGCTTTGCGTGAGAGATCGCTCTCTCTCTTCTGAACTGCGAATTTCAAATTTGCATCACAGACAAATGGTTTAATTAAAATACAGTTTATATATAGAAAAGGCTGGCGATATAAACATGTTCAAGATAACGTCTTTATAGGAATGATAAATAATTTCTCCAGTACCGACAGCAGAACCGATAACGTCCGAGCTTATCGATACAGCGGTCTTTCAAAATTCAGTACCGGGGCCCGTTTAATACCGGGTTTCGGTACCCATCCCTAATTGTGACAGCCCTAAAGTCACTGTGCTTGTCCTGATTCAGTCTCGGTTGAATCAATATCATGTAAGGAGCGTATATTAGAACTATTAGTGGTTTCTACATGCCGTTTAATGTAACCAAACCTGAACTGCCTTCTGCAGGTGCTGATAAACCGCCTGGAAAAGAACAGAGGGATGAAGCCAGAGGAGAGAGCAAACATCATGAAGACTCTTAAAGAACTGACAGAAAAGATCTCTCAGCTGAAGAATGAGATCAGCCCGACCGCACCAGCTCCTGCCAACACTACACAATCAAAGTCCAAAACAGACGTAAGTGTGTCTTGTATGAAGCTGCGCTCAGAACACTGTGGCCAGAGCTGCTTCTCTCTGTTTATGTCTATGACAAGTGACGCAGGTCTGTCTAAATATAAACGCTTGTCTCGGTAAGACAAAAACAAGGTTTGGAAAATGGATCCATGGTGTACTTGCTTTATTAATAGTTCATTTTTGAACACAAAAAATTTAAACTGCAAGTTTCAAATTTAGAACCTAAATGTACATTGCCAATTTTGTTTTATAAATGTTGTTAAATGTTTGTATAACTGTCTGTTTTTTCCATCTCTAGGCACAGAAAGAGTTGCTGGACGCGGAGTTGGACTTCCATAAGAAGTTGACGTCAGGAGAAGACACAACAGATCTGAAGAGGAGGTTGGGTCAGTTGCAGGTGGAGGTAAGCGGCCACTTTCTGTCACTGTGACCTGTTCATCTGATGCCAATTAACCAGATCTGGCTTCATTTTATTTATTTATATATATATACGTGTGTGTGTGTGTGTATAATATATATATATATATATATATATACACACACACACACACACACATATATATACACACTACCGGTCAAAAGTTTTAGATCAGTAAGTTTTTTGATGTTTTTAAATGAAGTCTCTTCTGCTCACCAAGGCTGCTTTATTTGATGAAAAAAAAAAACTGACAAACAGTAATATTGTGAAATATTATGACAATTTAAAATGACTGTTTTCTATTTTAATATATTTTAAAATGTAATTTGAAAGCTGAATTTCAAAACCTTAACTGTTGCTGATTACACATCAGTTTTCAGTGTCGCATGATCCTTCAGAAATCATTTTAATATGCTGATTTTATGCTCAAAAAACATAAATTATTTTTTTCAAAATTGAAAACAGTCGTGTACCATTTTTTCCCCCTAAAATTCTATGATGAATAGAAAGTTCAAAAGAACAGCATTTATTTAAAAAATGATCTTTTCTAACACTTTAAATGTCTTTACTGTAACTTTTGATCAATTTAACTCATCCTTGATGAATAAAAGTATTTTCTAATTTCTTCCCCCCTAAAAAATAAAAAAATAAATTCTTACTGACCCCAAACTTTTGAATGGTAGTGATTAATGTTACAAAAGCTTTCCATTTCAGATCAGTTCTGTTCTTTTGAACTTTCTATTCATCAAAGAATCTCAACATGGATAATAATCATAAATGTTTCTTGAGCATCATATTATAATAATTTCTGATGGATCATGTGACACTGAAGACTGGAGTAATGAGATAATAAAACATTTTATCATTTATCATAAATTTTAATAATATGAAATTAAATAACCTTTTGTTAAATAACGAGCTTTACTGTTAAAATGAAAACATGGATTATTCCTTAAATTCAGTTTTGATTAAAAAATTAGTGTTTGTGTATTATATTGGGACATCTCTAAATTCTACTGTACAACAGTAATATATTTCTGTAGTTTTGAAAACAATGGTAGGGGAAACACTGGTCAAGTATAGCTCCATCATTGTTTAAAGTTAAAAAAAAATATCATACTTTATGATGTTAGTTTTAATAAAAATATAATGAAATATAAAATCAAATCAAGGAAATTTCTCTGGCATTTCTTTCTTTTTGCTGTATAAAAAATGTACCGAACCGTGACACAAGTGTTTACATACAATGTCGTATGTATTGTAAGTATGTATGTATGTATGTATATATATATATATATATATATATATATGTTTGTATGTATAATTGCTTAGTTAATCTAATGTGAATTATGATTGACAGTAATTTAAATTACATTTTAAAACATCTAAACACATTACAGTAATTAATGGAATCGTGGTGAAAATGAAAATATACAAAAATAAAATATAATTGTGCATTTAAATGAATTTATTCTTTTGAATTTAGAGTTAATATTATTATAGTTGTTTTGTGTATCAAAAATGTCCCTATGACCTGACGCTCTAAAGTAGCGATAGCTGTGTGGCACACGTGTTAGCCAACCGGAAAATGAGAGCCATTTAAACCTATTTTACAAGATTCATATTTTTATAGTTGTACATAAAACGCCATATATGTTAGTGGCTAAGACCCCCATACTTATTTTCCAATTTTTTTTTTTTTTTTTACTGAAGCAAAAGACACTGATGTGCCCAACCAGAACCTTCATAATTCATTTCATGCAAACACAATGTCACACTCAGCCCTGACGTTCACGTTTCTAAAACGAGAGAGACAACGAAACATCACGGCTGGCACTGGGCTTATCTTAGCTGGTGTGTAATATGCATGTCATTACACTTCATCTCTTGCACATTTAACTCTGAGCACTTCCCAAACCCCAAGGACCAGTCCCCAAACAACACACGCTGCTGCTTTTCATCCCATTAAAGTTTGAGCAGCTCCCATGTAAGAGATGAGGGAAGGTAATTAACAGAAGAGAGCGAACAGGCTGAAAGACTGTTCAGGGCATGAAAGAGAAATGATCAGCATTTGGTGTGGCTTTAATTGTTCAGTCTGCAGTCAGGGTAAAGGTTAGGCACGTTACAAAGTCTTGTACTAGTTTGGAAGTTTAGAGTTGCTAGGGTGTTCTGGAGGTTGCTATGGTGTTGCTAGGCAGTTGCTAAGGTGTTCTGGGTGGTTGCTATGGTGTTTCTAGGCAGTTGTTAGGGTGATCTGGGTGGTTGCTAGGGTGTTGCTAGGTAGTTGCTAGGGTGTTCTGGATGGTTGCAACTCCATATTCCTTTACATCCATGAATATCCTATTTCATTGTATTAATTTTAGTACTGGGCAACGATTAATCGTCATTAAGCGCATCCAAAATAAAAGTTTGTGTTTATTATATATATATATATAATTACACACGGATGTATATATTATACTTTTTGTTATATTTATATATAATAGAAATATGCTATTATTAAAAGTGCTTTATATAAATGGTGATTTGACTTGCAAATATATATATAAATATACAATATAAATATACAAAATAATATGTGTGTGTGTGTACTATATATAATTATGTAAACAAACTTTTATTCTTGGATGTGATTAATCGTTGCCCAGCACTTGATGCGTAAAATATATATTTATGTGATTAAACTTTATATTAAAAGTTGTTGTAAGTTTTGTTCACACATCCCCCTCTGGATTTGATTCACGTAGGCCACCCGGCTGGGCCTGATATCGGCGGGACGGGGCAAACCCCCAGCGCTACCGGCCCGGGGCAGAGGGAGGGGCAGGGGGCGGAGCCTCAGGGGGCGTGGCGGAGGCAATCACATGGTGGTGGACCACAGGCCTCGAGCCATCTCTATTATCGGCTTCACACAGGAAGAGAAGGAGGAGCTCATGCCGCACTTCGTGGTAAGAGTTTAAATAGTGCAGGATTATATATCCATATACTGTCTGTCTGTGTGTCTATCTACCTGTCTGTCTATCTATCTATCTAGAGCCAGACCGATATTATCGGCCGATATTAGGCATTTTCCAAACCATCGCTATCAGCAGTTATAATGGCCGATAAATGAATATTTCAAAAATAAAATAAAACGGACGAAACACGCTTGAACCATGCCATGAGTGTTGGAGTTGTATAGTTTGTCCACCAGAGGGTAATTCGTTGAGTTGGTCACGATACATGCATTGCTTGAATAATAGTTAAAAGAACATCCCCATCAGTTCTCTTAACTTAAATAAGCATGACTGTCCTTTTAACTTTTTTTGACAATGTGACTGAAGTATTTCTTTAATACCGTGTGACAGTTATAGCAATGAGACGCATCATCTCTCTTCGGCCTGTTATATTGAAAATATACGTTTTACAATTTGCAGTATGACGTTATCCATTGCTAAATTATGGCTCATCATAGACTAGCTAACCATAAAGCTAGCTAATGCCACTATCATCAGTCTGTAACTTGTGACAATAATTTTTATTTTTTTTAATGCATTATCATATTATTTTAGTTAAAACTCATAAATAACTACAAATAACTAATGTTAGGGAAATCTGTTAATATTTTGTTGCGCGTTTCTGAAAAAAAATAAAAAAAAATATCGGCCGATATATCGGATTTTAAAACCAAAAAAAATATTTGTATCGGTCAGGCTCTATTATCTATCTGTCTCTCTGTACCTAATTAATGCTCAATCTATATGACCTCTTGTGTAGAAATTTGGCGAGATCGAGGAGCTTCGCGACCACGACGCTACCAGTGTCATAATGACCTTCAAAACCCGCAGTGAAGCAGAAAACGTACCGTCTTCTTACTTCTTACGGTTTTTGTTTTAGTAGACTTAGTAGACTTTAAACGCACTAAATAATCGTTTTTGTTTTTTTTTCAGGCTGCAAACCAAGGAGCAAAGTTCAAAGGTCGAATTCTACAGATCTCATGGTACAAACCTAAAACCCCATCTGTGTCCACCGAACCAGAAGAGGAAGATTCGAAGGACGAGGTCAACGCTGCAGGAATCCATGTAATGACGGTAACTGCATGTTCAACTACGTTTTACTGGCTCGAAACCAACATGAAGTTAAATTTAAGGGTGTATTCACACCAGGAAAGTACGATAGTTCACTTGCTTTGGTCCGGACCAAATAAAATATATATATATATTTTTTTTGGTACGGTTCGCTTTCACACTGCTCTTTTTGCAAGTGAACCAAAATTTGTAAACCAAACCACATGTTCGCTAAGGTCGTCCATTCATTGGACAAGGATTCTCAAGGCAGGGAACTACACTAACCTTTTCCACTGGTGGCACTTGCGCTACTAACTTTTTCAGTTACTGGCGGAAAACATGATTTGGTCGCACAAATTATTTATAGTAAGCCGCACTCTGGATAGTAATGAATAATAATGAAACTGCATTAGGGGTGGAACGGTACAGAAGTCACGGTTGGGTCGGGTTCATACCTTGGTTCAGACATTCAGACGGTTCGGTACGATTCGGTACAATGGAGTGAAAAGCAAAACAAAAATGCAGAAGGCATTTTTATAAATGTCTTAAGCCTCGTATTTTTTAAGTTGTTTAAGTTTTATTAATAAAGGCATAGAACCAGTTTATTTGTAGTGCACTGACAATAGTTTTATATAATTAGTTTATTAATTAAATTAATAAAAAGACCAAATGACCTTGATATATGTTTGGTAATTGTACTTGAATGAATGTAAAATTAATTTGCAATATTTCAGATCAATATATTTGTTTTCCTTAATTTTAACTAACCCTAACTTTATTCTCATCTGAATTATAAATACATGATTTCCGTATAAAATAATTACCATTAAAACACATTTGATTTTCTTTTTTAATCAATGTAGAATCATACGCAGGACTGTTGGAAAGCTGTGATGACAATAAAATGATAGCTTATAAATATATCTCTGGTTGTTTCTGTTCCACTACATTTTGTATGTCATGTTTGGGGTGTGGGATGAAGAGAGGGATATTTTCAGTAATTATTTAATAAAACATTTAATTTATCTTCAGTGTGTAGTATTAGCCAATCAGGTGTCTTGACGCGAATCACGCGATTATGATTATGAAAAAACTAACGTTAGTCTAAAAAACTGCTAGTGATCATATAACGTTAGTCGATGTCAATATCAGCGCTAGCAATATAAATAGTTAGCTCATAGCAGAGTTTATCAGCCGAACACCAGACCGCAAATAGACACGGTGTCTTACATCTCTGCGTCTTTTTCCTGCCGCCATGCAGGCTCAGATGGTAGCCTATATGATTATGATTAGCATGCCTATTATAAAGACACAAACCTTTTACTGTCATTTGAATAATATGCGCGCGATAGAGAGAGAGGGCAAGACAGCGCTTGTGTTGTGTGAAGACGTGATAGTGCGCGCGCGGCCAGGGCGCGCTCTCTCACTCCCAGCTCGTTTGCGCCCTGTCAAACGCATCAGTCATTCTACTCTACAACACTCACCGCGATCAAAAAAGGCTTTGGCGGGACAAAAAGCGGACGATACGACATGTTTTAGAAGATTAAATACAACCCGAAAGAAACTTAAAAAAAACAGACCCGTCAAAATAGTCAGTGATACATTTGCGACCCATTAAAAATTAGGGTCGCAATGGGATTTCAAAGGGTCGCATATGCTACCATTTTGGTCGCAGTGTAGTTCCCTGCAAGGGAAATCAGGAAGTGCAAAAAAGTCTCAGCATGGAGATATTTCCATATATTTCATACTGCAATATTTGTTCTTTTACTAATTTTGTGTTAATTCTGTACAAACGCAATATGAAGAAACTAATGAGTATCAATGATACAATGTCATCTATACGAAGTTGTAATTCGGATTTTGAGAAGACGACGAGTGTAACGTTTGAGTGGCTCTATAAACGCGGGGAAATACGACAACTCTCGTCTCTCGTGCATCTTTTCATTCGACCACCTTCTGTTTTTTTTTTTATCTCTGGGCAACATCTCAACTTTGCGTTACAAGTGGCACTGCACAGAAGACGGAGAAGGTATAAAGTTTTCATTCATAGAGAGGGGCTATGTTCACTCATTCAAATAATGAGATTCTTACTGTGTACTAACAAGTGCTGTCAATGTTAACGCTTGCGATTCAGTTTGTCCAGTTTAACGTAAATTAACGCATCATCATCCTTGTATTGTAACTATCCTTACATTAATAATAATAATAATTCATTACATTTATATAGAACTTTTCTCGGCACTCGCTTTAAGGGGGAAACTCGTCAACCACCACCAAAAGGTGGTGAACTGCAAATGCTTTATGAACTGCAAATTATTATTATCATTTTTTGCATCTTTGCGCGATTAGACATTCACACACGACACGCAGAAAGACGCGCAATATTCTCTTTCGACGCAGTGCTTTCTTGCAATTGGGTCGGTTCATGTTCACACCGTAAACGAACCGTACCAGAGTTCGTTTGGAACCGTACCGAGACCACCTCTTCAGCTTCGGTTGTTTGGTCCGCACCTGCCCAAAAGGTCCGCACCAAGGGGGCAAACGAACTAGAGTTCGATTCAATCGAACCAAACAAGGCAGGTGTGAATACACCCAAGTTAAATGGTGGATCTCTTCTCGTATTCTCTAGGATCCAGTCAGCCCCTTTCTGCTTCCAGAGGAAGAGGAAGAAGACGATGACGAAGAAGACGAAGACGAGAGCCGCTCATGGAGGCGATGAGGAAGGGGAGACGGCACCACTTTTTGTTCAAGGACTCTCATTTTTAGTTTTTGTTTGTGAAAGTTAATTTAAGTATATTTGAATAAGACTTTATTGTCTTTCTCTTTTTTTTTAAAGACGGTTTTCAGTATTTTGAGACATGGAGAAATGAAAAAGGCAAAGCGCGTTCTCCGTACGAGAATGTGAGACGTCTGTGGAGATTTGCAGTGTTTCTGTCACTCTGAAATGTCTGCTTTATGTATCAAACTCTCACTTTTGCTGAGATGGGAAACATTTTGTTTCACTGTGCATGAGCAGATGTCAGTAACTCACAACATTTGTGACTACTGTGAATTATTATTATTTTTTTTGCCTGAATTGTTTCACCCATCCCCCCCCCCAGTTTAATATGATTTAACATGTAACGTCATCTGCACTTTGGTGGAAATTCTCCCGATGGATGCACTCTTTTGGCATCTCTTTCCTTTGTGAAGAAACGAAATGCCCTCATGATGTTTTCACAAACAAACAACAAAACGCTTTTGTATCTGCTCTGTAACGTTTAGGCAATATAGTGGATTTTTTTTCCTTCTTAATATTAGTGTCACTTCCTGTAAATATGGACTCTATAGAAGATATATGTGGCACAGTTGATTTTGGTCAGGGTGTTCATATTTATTTCTCACATCTCTAGATGATGTTCCAAAACCAAAAAGCTTTGGATGAGGGTCCGAGAATATGATTCTTGTTAATTGAGGTAAAATATGAACAGTGGTGTTGTGAAATTGACTTACACTTCATTTACGCCTTAAATTGTCAGTGTCCAGCTGACGTTTTACGAGATAATTCCCCTTTTTTGTGTATATTTTGTAAATGGTTGCAGTAATAACGACTGCTCGCTTCATTATTTTAGCCGGTCGAATTAATGAGTCGCTCAACGGATCGCATTCAAAATTTTTAGGCTTATTTAAGTGAGTGTAGGACTAAAAAAACACACTCTTATAAGATTACACCACGCTTTATATAGGTTTTTTTTTTTTTTTTTTTTGTGACACTCCACTCATTTCAAAAGCCTGGTCCTGCAGAAATGGGTCCCGTTTCTGTAACCTTCAATATTACCCAATAGCATGCTGGCGTATGTATGCGTGTTCATTTGGAAAAAAAAGAAAATGTGTATGTATGCATATATATTTTTTTAATATTCATATTTACATACTTTGCTAAAATGAAATCTAAGTTTATAGTTCCTTTTACTGAAGGACCAGTGTAAAACGTATGTATGCTGTTGATGTGACAGTAATAGCACGTTTCGTAGCCATTGGAATTCAGTGATGCACCCGTTTGCCCCGCTCTTCCCAATCGATGGTACATATTGTTTTTAGAATCGCAACAATGATTTGTCAATAACTCGGTTGTTCATTTAAGGTCTGGCAGGTCTTAATATAGGTTTTGTACACGAGTCTAGTAGAAGGACTTGGGACTGTGTGTGTGAATTTAAAGAATGGATTTTGCTCATTTGTATAACCGTTTTACTACGCCACATTAGTGCAAAGTCATACATTTAGCGTAAATAGATTTTGACTTTATTACTGTTTATAAATTTAAATATATATGGATGTATTTTTCAGTTTTTTGTTTGTAAAATGGATTTCTAACAGTTGCATGTTTGCTAATCAATAAAGAGAATGGAATGGGGGTGAGCAAGAAGAATATCAAGAAGAAGAAAAAAAAAAACGTTTTCAATTGGCCAAAAGTAAAATGATTTACAACAAAAGATGGCTCAGCAAAAAAGAGAGAGAGATAAAAAAGGAAGAAAAAAATATCATGATCCATTCCAAGAATTATTCCCCTCTGAAACCGTTGTCGTGTGTTTTATTTTCTTTGTGAATGATTGTGCTGCATAATCCAAAAACAAACGTATCTTATGTTTAGTGTTTCTCTGAAACGGTAAGATGTTGCGGTTGGACCGGTGATATAATTTTTTATTTTGTAAGTAATCGTTAATGTGACAATTGAGATTTAGCAAGGCAGCTTTGAAAGTGTAAGAGATGTATAAGAGATGTTATATTTGTTTCTACATTTATTGTTTGCATGTAGACACTGGGGCTGGTTGTCATGTTCATAGTAATAATTTAAAGTCTTCAGTAGGGAAGATGTTAAATACACAGTAGTCAACATTTGAAGTGGATCATAAAAGTTGTCTTAAGACAAGAATGGGTATTGTTCAAAATTCATGCATAATTTTCATGTAAGGTTTTGAACCACTTCAAATATTAACTACTGTATACACACATAAATAGATACAGTGTTGGGGGAAACATTCAAATTCTCATGTTACGCAGAACGTTTGAGCTTCTGTAAGAACCAATGAGGTTCATTCTAGTGTTACGCAGCACGTTTGAGCTTCTGCAAGAACCAATGAGATTCATTCTCGTGTTACGCATCACGTTTGAGCTTCTGTAAGAACCAATGAGGTTCATTCTCGTGTTACGCAGCACATTTGAGCTTCAGAAAGAACCAATGAGATTCATTCTTGTGTTACGCATCACGTTTGAGCTTCAGGAAGAACCAATGAGGTTCATTCGTGTTACGCAGCACATTTGAGTTTCAGTAAGAACCAATGAGATTCATTCTTGTGTTTCGTAGGACATTTGAGCTTCAGAAAGAACCAATGAGGTTCATTCTCGTGTTACGCATCACGTTTGAGCTTCTGTAAGAACCAATGAGGTTCATTCTAGTGTTACGCATCACGTTTGAGCTTCTGCAAGAACCAATGAGGTTCATTCTCGTGTTACACATCACGTTTGAGCTTCAGAAAGAACCAATGAGATTAATTCTTGTGTTACGCAGCACGTTTGAGCTTCTGTAAGAACCAATGAGATTCATTCTCGTGTTACGCATCACGTTTGAGCTTCTGTAAGAACCAATGAGGTTCATTCTAGTGTTACGCATCACGTTTGAGCTTCTGCAAGAACCAATGAGGTTCATTCTCGTGTTACGCATCACGTTTGAGCTTCTGCAAGAACCAATGAGGTTCATTCTCATGTTACGCAGCACGTTTGAGCTTCAGAAAGAACCAATGAGATTCATTCTTGTGTTACGCATCACGTTTGAGCTTCAGGAAGAACCAATGAGGTTCATTCTTGTGTTACACAGCACATTTGAGCTTCAGCAAGAACCAATGAGATTCATTCTTGTGTTTCGTAGGACATTTGAGCTTCAGAAAGAACCAATGAGGTTCATTCTCGTGTTACGCATCACGTTTGAGCTTCTGCAAGAACCAATGAGATTAATTCTAGTGTTACGCAGCACGTTTGAGCTTCTGTAAGAACCAATGAGGTTCATTCTAGTGTTACGCATCACGTTTGAGCTTCTGCAAGAACCAATGAGGTTCATTCTCATGTTACGCAGCACATTTGAGCTTCAGAAAGAACCAATGAGATTCATTCTTGTGTTACGCATCACGTTTGAGCTTCAGGAAGAACCAATGAGGTTCATTCTTGTGTTACGCAGCACATTTGAGTTTCAGCAAGAACCAATGAGATTCATTCTTGTGTTTCGTAGGATATTTGAGCTTCAGAAAGAACCAATGAGGTTCATTCTCGTGTTACGCAGCACGTTTGAGCTTCTGTAAGAACCAATGAGGTTCATTCTCGTGTTACGCAGCACGTTTGAGCTTCTGTAAGAACCAATGAGGTTCATTCTCGTGTTACGCATCACGTTTGTGCTTCAGCTAGAACCAATGAGGTTCATTCTCGTGTTACACATCACGTTTGAGCTTCAGAAAGAACCAATGAGGTTCATTCTCGTGTTACGCAGCACGTTTGAGCTTCTGTAAGAACCAATGAGATTCATTCTCGTGTTACGCATCACGTTTGAGCTTCTGTAAGAACCAATGAGGTTCATTCTCGTGTTACGCATCACGTTTGAGCTTCTGTAAGAACCAATGAGGTTCATTCTCGTGTTACACATCACATTTGAGCTTCAGAAAGAACCAATGAGATTAATTCTCGTGTTACGCAGCACGTTTGAGCTTCTGTAAGAACCAATGAGATTCATTCTCGTGTTACGCATCACGTTTGAGCTTCTGTAAGAACCAATGAGGTTCATTCTAGTGTTACGCATCACGTTTGAGCTTCTGCAAGAACCAATGAGGTTCATTCTCGTGTTACGCATCACGTTTGAGCTTCTGCAAGAACCAATGAGGTTCATTCTCATGTTACGCAGCACATTTGAGCTTCAGAAAGAACCAATGAGATTCATTCTTGTGTTACGCATCACGTTTGAGCTTCAGGAAGAACCAATGAGGTTCATTCTTGTGTTACGCAGCACATTTGAGTTTCAGCAAGAACCAATGAGATTCATTCTTGTGTTTCGTAGGACATTTGAGCTTCAGAAAGAACCAATGAGGTTCATTCTCGTGTTACGCATCACGTTTGAGCTTCTGCAAGAACCAATGAGGTTCATTCTCGTGTTACGCAGCACGTTTGAGCTTCTGTAAGAACCAATGAGGTTCATTCTCGTGTTACGCAGAACGTTTGAGCTTCTGTAAGAACCAATGAGGTTCATTCTCGTGTTACACATCACGTTTGAGCTTCAGAAAGAACCAATGAGATTCATTCTCGTGTTACACATCACGTTTGAGCTTCTGTAAGAACCAATGAGATTCATTCTCGTGTTACGCATCACGTTTGAGCTTCTGTAAGAACCAATGAGGTTCATTCTCGTGAACTTTGCCTAAAACTTTGCATGTAACTTTTGTTCAATATAGCCAATTAAGACATGTTACAGGAACGTTTACTTTTAACTACCAATAAAAATAAAGTGATACGGCTGTTAAAAATGTTGGAGCCCCAACTCAATAAGAATGATGTAAATAAAGGAACATTCAACAAGTGAGTATTCTAAATATTTGAAAGATGTATTCAGCTGCCGCCTGGCTTAGCCAAACTTTCGACAAGTTAATTTGGCTTCAGTGGTTTTGACATATTCAAATGCTCATGAATAATGCACTGCCATCCCTTACTTTGGGAAGCCAAGTGAAAAACACTCAGAGTCTATTTGATTTAATGCAAGCAGTGTTGATTGCCCCTTGGGACGGCACGTCAACCACCAGCTTTACCCGCTCGTCATTTTCTCATCCCTCGCTGCTGGAGCGACAAGCACTCAGAGCTCGCTTGGAGCCTGGATACAAATGGAAATGGATTTAGGAAACACACCGACGACAACGGCGAGGTCATTCCGCAGATCAGAGCTATAATGCCTGCAGAAGAGCAAACTCCTGTCAGATCTCACCAAAACCATATCAATAAAACATGCCACCTGAAATCACTGCGATGTTGTTGCTGGCTGATGACAACCCCGCAAATACCATCGCAACCGTTAAATAATGAATCTGGGTTTTTTTAGATGACAATGGGAGGCTTTAAGATGATGTCAGGCAGATGCACAGCTATCAGAGTAAGAGACTTGTGAAGTCATGGTGAGGTTGATCTTTCCATGCATGCAATGTGAGACCTGATGATACAGAAACATCAGTCAGGTGGTTTGGCTGTCAAAGCCCAGTGTCACCATTTGGTTCGTGTTTGTTTGGTTCATCTTGCCGTACCTACACATTATCATGACTTGGATATTCCTTTTAATTTGGAAACTATTGTATCTGCTTTTAAAAACAATTACTTATTAGTTTGCACTATACGTTACATTCACAAAAAATAACTCAACTAAAAAGATTCGGATCATTGAGGATGATAAAAAGCAGGCCTATTGTATTTTCATTAATTTAACCATAAAATAAAAAAATATATATATTAAAACAAAACAATTTTTTTTAATGTTATCATTACATTGTTTCCTTTTATTTTAAAATTTCACTTCACAAATAATAACAAAATGCAAATATTATAGGGTTAATGTCAAATATGGATGTCTGACACGATAAAATGGGGAAACAAATACAGCTGTAATTTCTTTTTTGACACATAAGTTTATTAAAAATGTTTTAATTACTTTAAATGTGAAATGGTGTAATCAATTAAATTGAAATAATTTACAATACGGTTAAATTTAACATTAGTAAACTACAATATAACATAAACTAAGAATGCTAAAAAGTAGCTAAAAACGAAGAAGTAAAAATACATTTATTTTTATAGTCTTTATATTGATGTTTCATTTCAGTTCCTGTGATTTTAGTTCCTCTTTCCATCGTCATCTTGTTTGTTTCCATAGCTGTCCTTCTTTTAGCCCCTTGTCATTTCGTTTATTTAAACCCTCAGTCTTGTCTTGTGGTAATGTTTCGTGCTGTTATGAATCTCTTTTTCGTTTCTTGTGTTTATGTTATTTTATTGTTCATCTGCAACAAGCCTCTTTAATTTGAATTATTAAAAATTAAACCATACATGACACAAGTTATTGTTTATTTTAAAATGTTTTAATGCACTAGTTATATATTTTAATATTATTTCCTGGATTAGAGCAAACCTGTACTAACTATGAATAGTAGCCAAGTATTTAACTAATTTTAACAAAAATAATAAGTAGATAGGCCTAAAAAATAAAACCAAAAATGTATATATTAATATGTAAAAAAAACATTTTTGAGGTAAATTCATTAAAGGCTATCCTTCCGCTAAAAAATAGTTCCCATTCAGTGAGTCATGTTCGTCGTTACGTCGATACTGATAACCATATGAGCCAATGGATATTGGCTGAGTAATGAGATTTGCATACGGGTATATAAGGCCAGCTCGCACTAATTCATTCGATTCATTAATTCATACTTCACAATCACCCAGTGATTGTGAACAATGATCGCCCATTCCAGTCATCCTTCATCTGAAGTGGAATGCTGATGA